TATTAATTTTTTTCTAAAGAATGATTAAACATACGAAATGGAAACTTTGCACAAACATTTATGACAACTAGACAAAGCTGCAAAAAAAAATTATGAAGATTGTTCAAATTCATAAAACAAAATGGCGGCCATTTAAAATTTTTGTAAAATCAATGGTTTTTGAGTGGTTTTTTTGGTTTTTTACCTACTAAAATACACATTTACACCAATTTTTAAATTTCTATCCAAAAAAATGCCCAAGATATAAAATAATTCTTAAAAATAACAAACAGAACGACGAACAGAAATCTTGGCATTTTATGTTTGTCTTAGCCCAAGGAACAAGTCCACAAAATATGTCCAGACAATTTGGAAACACCCTGTATATACTGCACTGTGTATACCTATTGGTTACTGGGATATTAAAAGTGCTGAACACATAGTGATAAACTATGTTGTCCAGTACGTACAGTTTCAGAATTATTTAATAAGCTTAGTACTACCATTGACTTTATATCTATAAAGTCAATGGTACTACGTCACACTTTTTATCGTCTTATATAGGTACTGTGCTGGCTGTAGGATCAATGAATGAACATTTTGATTTGTAATCATAATGCAGTAAAACCATAATAATTAGTGTGAAATTGTTTCATTATTCAATTTTATACCGTTTTATAAATATAAAACTTTATTCTTCTAAACTGAATAGCACACAATTTCTTGAGTGGCAAAATCAGTAAACCTTTCATCAATGATCTCAGAACTCAAAATACGGGACTGAAAAATCGAAACTAATAATGGAAACACATCAAACGGTGTAGTAACACTTCGGCCAAACTAAAATTTCTTAGAAAAACAGTAACACTTTGTCCCACTCGCTTTTACAGTTGATTAAATAGGCCAATGGAGTAACATTTCGGCCCAACGAAAAGTTGACAAGGGTTGAGGAATGCATTTCAGAAGAGACTCATGACCTGTATACTTTGCAACCACCCTGTGAGTCGGTCCAACCGTTACCCTTTTGGAATCGGTGGAATCTCACCCCCACCAACTCCTTTGTTTACGAGGGAAGACCTAACCTAATGCCTTTTGTTAGTTTTTAAGTGTTGTTAGCTTTTTACTATCCTCCCAAATAGTTAGTGAAGACCTGTAAAATATTTTTTGGGACCAAGTGTAATTAGTGTGCAGGTAGAGAGTTGGATCGCAGGCAACATCCGAAGATTTCAGGCCAAAGTGTTACGACTCGCATCAAACTAAGGTGGAGGTAATAGAGAGATATCCAAAGCAAACTAAAAGCGGCAAACCTTATGTGCAGTAGGGGGGGGGGGAGTGAGGGTAATATGTTTTCGATCGGGGTGAATCAAACAATCACTATGAAAAATAGCTATAATTGTGAAGGCAGTACATAGTAGACACATCTCTTTACAAAATTATGAAGAACGAAAAATATAAAATAACTGTACAGTTTGAGTGTATTAATCCTATAAGAGAAACTTAAAATCTAAGTTTAACTACAAACATTATAAATAATATTACAGATGCACTCTCAACAGCCTTAAGTACCTTACTATAGTGTGAATTAATGTCCATATAATATATACAGGGAAAATGAATATAAGTGTAAATGGGTTGTAGAAGTCAAAAGATTACTTCCAAACCTATGAGGACTGATTGGAAAGTGACATCTACAAACTAATACAGTACGACATAAAATAGGTCTTTTCCCTTCTTAAAACACCTCCCTTTTTGTCAGTTTAATAGCATGGACTACAAAACGGGACATGTTTACTAAGTAAGTGTTGTCACTCATAATCATATAGCAGACATTTTTTTTTTAGGTCTCACACAACTTTTTGTCTGATACATCTTATCCCAGACACAAATTACTGACATTGTTTCCAAATTTGATCTAACCATTCTGCTTTGTCTTTGTCTCCAGATTATTTATTATCGTCACAAGTAGGTAATGTTATTGATCTTTAAAAAATGTTATGAATAAGTCCTATATTTAATAGCAAGTTTGACATATTATTTATTATCATGCAAACAATTACAGTTTTAATTTAGAGACAATTGATTTTGATCAATTGTAAAAGTAAATATTTTTAAGGATACTAAACTTATATATAGAATAAAAATAACAATATGTTGAAATAGCTTCCACTTTAAATATCTATAGTTTCAAAATTAGAACTCTAAACCTAGGTAAAATGTTACATTAAATAGGTTATTTTCTTTAGGTTACACTATCTAATTTGGCAGTCAGACAAAAGGTTAGCCTGGAGAGAAAACATGACTCTTTTCAGGACTAACATCAAATGACCATTCAAATATACTAATCCACTTGCTAGGGGGGTTCCCGTGTGCATTTTATGTATATAGAAAAACACCCTAAGGGATCATGTAGGTACTATGTGGGTTATCATTTTTCACGTGGGTGCCAGCTTGGCAGAGTGGGCATAACCTCAGAATCCGCCATTTTAAAAATGGCGGCGGAATTTATTACATGAAACTCATTAGGAGCTTATATCTCGAAAACGGTAGTATATAGCGAGTTACTTTTATAACAATAAATGTTGCTTACACAATAAGGAACAACTTTTGAATTTACAAAAATGCCCTAAATATAACTATTTAGGAGTAGTTGAGCAATTTATGTTAATTTAACCTATACATTTTTACTTTGTTTGACAAAAAATTCTAATATCTTTAAAAAACTGTTCCTTTTTAATTTTGCACATAGCACTTATTTCTCTTTATATTTAAAGTCAAAATACCACCAACGAAGCAAACCTGCAGACTAAGCAAACATTTACCTGGCTGCATTTCTACTAAAATATTAAAATTGTCATACTCATAGTATTTAACCTATACATTTTATCTCTGTTTGCAAAAAATCTAATAATTATAAAAAAGCTGTTATTTTGTAATTTGGCACATATCACAAATTTTTCTTCGCATTTAAGGTAAAAAAACCTGCAAAAAGCATTCGAGAAGCTTCTGGCAGATATATAGCTATTAAAATAATATACAATATTTTTAAATTAATTTTTTGTTATTAAATGACGCATACAAATATAAAAATAAATATAAACCATTCTATATACTGATTTTTTATTATTACAAATAATAATAAATCTACGGATGTAATAGAAATTATTACTATAATTCATAACATTTATTATTAAAACGGCGATGGAGCGGGAACGGGACCGGCGGCTAAGTTGGTGCATCGGCCAAGCATTGACGTCGCGTTAACACAACCAGCACCTTGACATTGTCCTTGGTGGTAGGCTGCATTGGACTGATTGTATTGATATTAAACTAGTTTCGTGGATCATAAAATTTGAGCGCAGTTATTGGATCTAAATTATAAGCCTTTTGGGTTAAGAGGAATTAGATCTGTTCCCTTTTATAGTCATCAGAAAAATGAAACTGTTCACAATATACTTGTGAGCATTGCGGCAAAGAGTAACCACCATCACTGTGTCCAAAACTCAAAGGATCGAGTTGAAAAACGTGTTCTTCCATGCAATGGATTTAGATGTATGTACAATAAAAAGCACGTAAGATATGCTGTATAGTAGCTCTACCAGACAGAAATTCTTTACGAGCAAAGGATGCAGTTCTTTTAGAGTATTCTTTGTACAGTGACAGTGTACGCATATCCAGTGTCTTAGATCATTCATAGTTTCACACTGAGTATCCTTTTTTTAAATGTGAACTAGATACTTCACTGTGTTTTTCAAACTTTATTCTATCTCTTCCTCCCCATCTTTTCCAAAGTCCATTAGCAAAGTACTTGGATTACATTTTAGGGTAGCACGCTTTGTTCCAAATTTTCTGGCAAAGTCACAGCCCGTTAAAATATGGAGTGCTGAGAGAACTGAGCAAAGGTTACTTCCAAGCCTGTTTGCTATAATGTGAACTAGTACATATCATGAAGTTCTGGCTGTACCAAGTCGCATCCACAATTCCTGCAAACCTTCCGAAGTGAATCCATTCATAAAGTGTAAAGCCAACACTGCGACATCTGTACCTATCCGAAGTCAGAACTACGACTTAATTTGATAACTCGAGCAAAAATGATCCAATTTTGATGAAATTTATCACAAACGTGTAAACCTACGTTTTCAGACGAATTCGGACTATTAAACCAGCACGATCGGACTATGGGAACGGGGGTTTAAGGGGAGTTTAGGGTAAAAACGGATTTTTCCGATTTTCGACCCTAAAAACACGAAATTTTATAATGAACGAAACAATTTTGTAGAGCTCAAAAAAGAAATAACTATGTATATTGAAGCGTTGTATGCCCAAAAGTTACGGAGACAATAACAAAAATTTAAATTTAAAATTCCCATGTTATTCTTATGGAGAATAAATAAACTGTTTTAGTTTGCTTGTTTATCGATATATTATAGTCAAATTTCAAAAATTTTGTTTCATTCATACCAAGCTATCAACATTTCAATAAAAATATATAAAAAACACCTCAATACCTTCCCTGAAGCAGCAAACTAAGTACTCAGTACAAATCAATGTCATTTAAATAGGAAATCAATCTGTCAATTATAATATTTTAGTAGAAATGCAGCCAGGTAAATGTTTGCTGATTCTGCAGGTTTGCTGCGACAGGGGTATTTAGACCTTAGATGTAAAGAGCAATTAGTGCTATGTGCCAAGTAAAAAAAAACAGTTTTTTATTTTTTTAAAGATATTAGAACTTTTTGCCAAACAGAGTAAAAATGTATAGGTTAAATTAACATACATTGCTCAATTACTCCTAAATAGTTATATTTAGGGCATTTTTGTAAATACAAAAGTTGTTCCTTATTGTGTAAGCAACATTTATTGTTATAAAAGTAACTCGCTATATACTACCGTTTTCGAGATATAAGCTCCTAATGAGTTTCATGTAATAAATGCCGCCGCCATTTTTAAAATGGCGGATTCTGAGGTTATGCCCACTCTGCCAAGCTGGCACCCACGTGAAAAATGATAACCCACATAGTACCTACATGATCCCTTAGGGTGTTTTTCTATACATAAAATGCACACGGGAACCCCCCTAGCAAGTGGATTATACTTTAATATCGATCAACAATTTGCTTTAAGGTCAAACAATTTAATATAGTCACTGTAGCGGGAGAGTAGCGGTGGAGAACATCTAGACTTACGTTCTCTATGTGTATAAGTTGTATAAGTCAATTAAAGAAGAAATTTGATTCTATAAAGCATCACTCTATGGTTGTGTGCGTAGTTTGCTTAAGTTTTGAAGGTGCAAATAGTCAAATGGAAGGTAGCAAGATCCCTTTTCTCCCAATTTTTTCTCTGTGTTTGTTGAATGTAGGACAGCAAACTAAGCTCAAGTAAGATTACGTCTACAAACATGTTCACACATTAGTTTCTTACAGTATTTAAAAAAATAAACTGTATGACTGGATTGTTAAAAATCCCTTTTACAAAATTGATGATTTTTTAAGTTGTGAAATAAATATTAGATTTTAAAGAGTACGGTAAGTTGAAATAAAGCTTTTATTTTCATGTAAGTGGCTATTTAAATTTAGATATTTTGTACTGTAAACACTGAATCACCTTGTAACTATGTATAACAATGACGTGTCCTATTTCTTTTATAAAGATCAATGGAAATAAATATTTCTTATTCTTATTCTTATTCTTATTCACAGGTATTGCCATACTGTAGCTCTTCTTTGGGAATTTATATGATGTCCCATCTCATAAGGTTGGTTTGTGCTACTCATCTGCACATTGTGCAACAACAGCAAATGTGTTAAACCATTAAAAAAGAGATGTTCTAAGAAATGTTATCTATTGGGTTTAGTTTTTAACTTAAATCCTTAGGACAGAATGATTAAAAGAAAAGAAATCGAGATTAACTAATTAACTTTCTGCATATGTACTCCTTGATACAATGTTGTAACTTGCGTTTTGTTAAAATATACTTGAATAAATTCTGTTGCACTATTAGTGTTTTTGCTTAGGTTACAAAAGTGTAAGAAACAAATCTTTACTGACTAAACTAAATAGATAAACACATCTAATAATTCTTTTGTCAGTTGTCATTGCTGTATTATACTACAAACAATATATGTCAAGTTGTTTTTTTTTAGCAACATTTGTCAACACCTGGGGCCCATTTAATAATTAACTACAAGTTACAAGTTACAACTTGTAACTTGTAATTTCCATTAGATTTACATTGGGCGATCAGCTGATTTACTAATAATATTAGTTTGTACTTTATTTTGAATGGGCCCCTGGTTTCTTAAATCTGAAGCAAGTTCTGGGAAAGGTGTTACACTGGAATGGTATCACAGGCAAACAACAAAAGATGATTTCCACCATTAACATTTCAAGAACCAATTATTTGTTCACTAATGCCACACTAGTATAATGTTCCTCTTGCAGTGTTTTTAGCGAGTGTTCTATGAGAAGTGTTAACTGCCTTGACTCATCCATTCCATGATTGGTTGATAGTTGCGCTCCATCCATGCAACGTTTCCCTCCGTCTTCTCTATTTGTTGTAGCACCACCTTGCTGGCTCCTCCGAATTCTGACTGATGGGCTCGAGCAAATTCTTTAAGCTGGCAAACAGGTGAATAAGCATGTTAGAAAACTAGATTTGCCTTGGTTATACTGGTATACATCCTTTGAGAAGCAACCTCTGCACCAAGACCAAGTTTAAAGGACTTTTTGACATACTAGTGAAATTTGTGCAGTTGAGGTATGTCTATGATAAAAATTAATATATATATATATATATATATATATATATAAGGATGTCTTTAAATGTGTATGAATGTTAACATTTATAGTAAACATTGCTAACATTTCGAGGAGATATTGAAACATGAACCTGATGTAAAGCATTTAATGTGAATTCCAGTTTTTTGGACATTTAATTATGCAAGTTGGTTAAAATCAATCCCTTACCGTGTCTAGTTCAAACTTGGTGGTCATTCTTGCTGTAGAAAACTGGATGATGTTGTTAATGATGAATAAATGGCCTCCAAAACTGGAAAACAGAAATAACATTTTATTACTGTATTTATTTTATTGAGGTTAAAGTATTGTTAACAGCAATTCAAATATTTACTAGCTATTATCTTGAGACATTGGCAATGGTTGAATGAATTTTGTTCGTAGATTCATGTGTTTAAGAGTGACAAAGTTTGCTTTTCTCAATTTTAGTCTTAGAGATGTCTCTTATCAGATTGACAATAAAAATCCCCCATAGCTACCCAGTGATCCACAAACAAAAATCCCTTTTAGGTTTTGTCATTTTTTCATCCAAAACTGAAAAATTACCATGGCTAGCCTCGCGTAGCAAATGTTCACAGCCTTATTTGGACTATCAACACTTATTAAACACATTCTTACATTCCTCCATAGACATTCATCAACTAGCGGATGGATTTCCATACAGCTCAACCACCTCCCTACAGAAATATAATCATGTGACACAATTCATACGTAGCAAGAGCATAGATTATTCCTTCGCCCGGGTAGAACATTTCGGTGTTGGATAATAAATGCACTCTCTGGTGTTAGATTAAACTATAGCTTAAACTGTTGTGACAGAAGCATGAATAAGTAGGTACAAAGTTTGTCCTTAAATTAAGGTCTCCAATAAAATTTGAGCATGTGCTTTGTCTCTACTTATTAATGCTTCATTCAAAAGTCAGTGCATTTACAAAAGTCTTAATTTTGGTCCTTAACTTGAGCTGAACAATTTTGACTCACTATTCTTTTATTCGTTTCCACTGATCCCTCAGGAAGGTGAAGGCAAGGGGTTGACCAATCACGTTGCTTGAAACTGCTGCAAAAACAGCTGCTGCATCTTGTTTGCGGATACCTGAGTTCTCACTCACTGCTCGGTCCAAATACCTGAATGAAAATACAAAATCGTCAAATCAGTTTGTTGATTTTGTTTTAAAGGCTCAAAAGTCTACGTATGGAATGAATCAAACAAAGTAAGGAGAGAGCTGATACAGTTAAAGAATGAGATGTACTGATATATATATTTGGTGGCGATGCTGCGATTTGAACCTCACGTGGATTCACATTTCATCGCTCTACCAACTCATCTAAAATATGAAAACCGGCATGTAAAAGTAACATTGACTTTACAATGAGATATTTAATGATTCAGGAATGACCATGAACATTTATATTTACCGGTACCATTCATGTTTTTAAAGTGGTTATTTAATTTGACTAAAAGTATATAATCATATTCTTCTAAATACAGACAAAGTTTTACAGATGTAATAAATGTTGGATTATTAATTCATATCTTTGGCTATAGATTCCATACAGAGGCAAGTTTATAAAAAACAACTCCTCTAAAAAAGAACTAGCATCTTGTTACCAAACTTAATAGCTCATTGGCAACTCCTTGGCTTGTAAACCAGACATTGCTGATTCAAGCCCAGCAACATACACTATTTCATCATTGCAGTCATGAACAGCTTGTCTATGTGACTTTTACCTAAAAGGTACTCCACTGTCTTAAAATCACAGCCCAAATAAGTTGTCTAAATGCTAAATGCAATTAGGGTTTATTTAAAATAAAATAAAAATAAAAACTTTTAATAGTTAATAAATAAACGGTATCAGCAATCTGACACATGCTTTCTCCCATTAGCTTGTCAACAACCATTTTCATGGGTATACACTATATACACTAGGTTAGGCTTACCGGTACATGCATTTCCAATTTCTTTTATGTAGTTTACATATTAACTTATTCTCTCACAATGACCTTACCTAGCGAGTATCCAAGTTTCTCTACTACATCCTAGAGCGCTCAATAGGAGACTCTTCTCAGAGCCAACGTTGGTATGCAAGTATCGACTCCAAGCAAAGTCCCACTCCGGCTGCCCTCCTTCTCTGATAGCAGTGCAGTACACGGTGCTCTTCAGATTGGAGCTGATCCTACACAACAACATACTTACTGGATCAGTTTACGTTATATGACAAATCGCTCAATAATACAAACTTGATCAACCTTACAACTCCAAAAAAAGCATGTTGTATAGTCGGTCCTTCATACCACCTTGAATTATAGAATCTTGTACCTAACACAATAGATGACATCTTTATAAATCTACCTGCGAAGTTACTAAAAATTTAAGGGATGTTTTGAATTAAAAACAGGAAACAGGTTTGAATGAAATGCTCACTATTTTAACTTATATCTGGAAAGAGACGTTAATAATATCTTATATACCTTGCCTTTATAGTAGTTTACGCAACGATCGTGTAAAGATAATGTTAACGATACGAGTAGAAAATTAAAAAAATTAACTTCTATGAGTTTCGTTAATACTATTTACGCAAGTTGCGTACGAGTGAAAAATTAAAAACGTACGTTTTCATGTCCCTGGCCTTTTACTTCGTAGCTACTGGATTTGTAGTTTATTATTATGTGTTTTAATATTTTTTGGGATGGGGGCAACATGTTACACACATTTATTTGGTTTTAAATAGGTTCTAGGTATTTTTTTCGTATTTTTAAAGTCTCGAAATTCACGACCATGACGTGTCCCTAGGGTACATTTTCCAACTTTCACGCTGTTTTTAGACTAATTATTCATGCAGCAATATATAAAGCCATATTTTTATGTCATCAATGGTTATTAAACTTACAAAAAAGGAGCATATTATAATTTTATTGTCATTGCAAACTGACTACCATGACATAATAATTCTGTCCCTCGATTTGGCGTCACGACCATTTGGGAAAATTTTTCAACTTTGGAGCACGACAGTGGCAAGCCTGGCGTTGATGGAGTCAGTTGGTTTTAGAGACTAGATCGGGGTGTACGTCAGGATTGTAGTGCCGGTCGTTTCAAGTTGAAAGGAGGAATTACAAGATTAATACAGGAAAGGTTGTGTTTTTTGTAATTTTGGTGTGTCCATGACCGTACATAGTCATTCGATGAAGTAGACATGGTGTTAATTTTTGTTTATAAGATATTTCAATTGCTAGATTAACCTAGAAGTCCACTTTGTATCCTCGAACATGAGGTGCAGAGCTACCGCCAGAACAGAGCCAAATAACACGTAATTTCACGACCAAAGTTTCACGACCATCGCGGGTTTTTTCACGACCTATCCAGCCTTATGGATTATAGTGTGTTTGGTCGTGACAATAACTTTAATATAATTGTAATTTGAACAGTTTAGTTCAATTGAAACACATATTTTTATTATAACTAATAGTATAATTAATGGATTGTTTAGAAAGATTTAGATTTTTTTATAAAATTCACGACCGTACCGCTTGTCCCTGACCATCACGTTTATGATTTCTGTCATAAAAATTTCAAAAATTAAAATATCGTCATATTTCAATGTTTTATACACAAAAGAAGCACGTCTCTATGCAAACATAACGATTTTTCGGGTCTCAGGTAAGGTTTTTCGGAGTTATACAAACTTAAAAAGATATTATTGGCTTTTTTCAATTTTTTTGAGTTTTTTATTTTTTTCTAGAAAGACCAAATATACTAAAAGCTCAGTGACCTTTTTAATGTATAATGGTCATAAAAGTAAATTAGTTTATAGCAAAACATAGTTATAAAAATAATATTAACTATTTTTAATATTCATTTAAACGTCTGTTATGGTCGTGACAGGATTTTGTGTTTTTCCACTAAAGATGCTCTTTTAAAAAAAAACTACCAAAGATATTGCGTTACCATGGACATTTTATGAAACTTCAAATGTTAATGAAATCAAAAAAATAATAAAAGTTTTGAAAAAAGGGGAAAAAAATTTGCAAAGTGTGTTTCCTGAAAACGTACGTTTTTAAATTTTCACTCGTACACTACTTTACCTACAACTGGTTTTTAATTAATAATAATCACTACTTAAAACTTCTAAGAGAGGTTATGTTTTCGTTTATAACCTCTCATTGCCACTGACATTGATGCAACAACTCATTGTACCAATCACTAATTACACCAATCGTTAACAATTTAATCGGTGAACAGCTGATTAGTTTATGTTCGAAGCATTACAGTTTTACTTCTTCTCTCTCAAATCTTGAACCTCATTGGTCCCCATTGGTTACCCGCACTGAGCTATAATTCTAACTGGAGGTAGCACTGAATGTCCAAGATGCGTGTCGCCAGCCGCCATGTTTGCGTGAGGTGTGAGTTATAAGAAGCCATGTTATTGGATAAGAAAACTCACTGCTATACCAACCTAGTTATAGAAGCCATGTTATTGCTATGATAAGAAAACTCGCTGCTATACCAACCTAACAAAATCAGCGACACGCTTTTGACAGACTTCTGCCATGGCAGCGCTACCTCCAGTTATAATTTTAGCTCAGTGGTTACCCGTGTTGTTAAGTAAAACGATGCTGTTTTGTAAGCAAAAAATGCTGTTACACGCAACTTTTCAATTCTAAGAACTGAACTGATACTTAAAACTACTGGTACTTAAAAAATGGTCTTAGGTAAAAGTTTATTATGGCGCCCTCATTGGGATAGTGAACAAGGTAAAGGAGCTCATTATTAGTGAGGAGTAAAGGGTACATTATTCAGTTACCAGACAAGGAGGTTGAGTCAAAACCAAGTTTATGTAAAATTGAACTTACGGGTTATCCTTGTTTGGCTGAGGGCTCGAGCGCCAGTTTTGGAACTGACGGACAGAGTTGCTTATACAATGTTCGTGACCGAGTTGACAAGCCCACTTGAGTACCTCAACTCTTGAGTATACTTGTAGTTGATCATCTGTGCTGTGGTCAACAAAACCTGTTTTCTCGTACAGACTCTTCATCAGGGCCAACATGTAAGACTGAAAAGGATATTAAAGGATATTAAAGGATATTAAAGGGATTTAGTACATTCATATTAACTTACAGTAGAAAATATCATATATGATATGTGTTAGACAACGCTTTGTTTTTTAAAAAAAAATTTAAAGAATGATATATGGCCCAACACAAGAAAATTGAGAATGGAGTAAAAGGCATAATAGGGAGATAAGGAATATGTATAATGATTATGATGTAGTAGCACACGTGAAAGCAAGGAGAATAAGGTGGGCAGGACACGCACTACGGAGAGAACGGGGTTCACTATTAAAAGGAGCAAGCATAGGAAAGCCAGAAGGGAAAGACCATTAGGAAGGCCCAAGAAGAGATGGTGGGATAGTGTCTCCAAGGACATCAGAGAAGTGGGGGCAGCAGTGGAGGAGGCAGAAGATAGAGGGAGGTGGAGAGCAGTTGTTGATGCAGCCAAATCCCGCCTTGGGCTGAAATGGCCATGGGAGTGAGTGTGAGTGAGCCTCAATTAAAACACAAAATAGGTAAAAAAAGTATCAATATCATTATTCATTATTAATCTCAGTATTTGTGAAAAGACACACAACATTTTGATATTGAAGGAGACGTCACATCAATGTGGGACAACTGCAGTCAGGTTTTTACTCAAAGATAAAATAGATAAACTCTCTGACAGCTCTCCAGACATGCTGCTGTAAAAATTCCATTTAAATCATCTTCTTAGTTTCAAATACTGTGATGGTTGATATGACATAAAACATGTTATAGTTTACAGTAAGTCATCGTTTCCGTTTGGCCTGATGGTTAAACATTTTGCGTGGATGACAGAAATCAGCCATTGACAACAGCACATTTTGCTGGAGGCTTAATTAAACTAAGATCATTGTTTTTCTAAAACTGGATTTAGCTTTAACATGGAAATGGAATGTCTACATTAATCCATAGTCAAAGGCTCTAACCCACTCCAATGGGCGATTCACCAGATGAAAACTAGATCTAATAGTGTTTGAACTTTTTTTCCTTCTTTATAGAAAACAAACTTTGATAAATAATCACCTTGAATCTATCAAATCCACCAGTTTTAATCAGCATGTTTGTCAGATATTTGAAACCCTGAAAAGCAGATTTCCAAGGAAGGTAGTCAAGCTCGTGAGCAAGATACTTGGTAACGTCTAGAGCAGTCCCATAGTCCAGTGATCCTGCACGTGCAAGGTTCAGAGCGTCATCTATGAGCATTGCTCGGTTCAAAGTACCTGAAAACAAGTTGTTTCTAATTTATTCAAAACAATTTCAATTGAAAAACAAAAAATCCTATTTGATGTTGATTGCATCATAACAACTAATTCTACAACTAACTTAGAAAAAAAAAGTAAGAATCAAAGTGTCATTTTTGGGCTGAGAGGTAAACAACATTTCTTGTACTGTATGATATGAAGCAAAATATAGGCTACTTAAGAGTCTTCATCACCCTGCGTTTTGGGGATATGGCCTTGGGGGGAAGGTGTTGTAGACGGGAGGGTAGCGCGGGGTTATTATGCGCGCCATTATGAAAACATCGTAAACACACAACTACTAAATAGACACTTCAGTGATTCATCTGCCGCCTGAGCCAAGTTTTGTAAAAGGCTAGTAGCGAAGTAGTCTCTGACAAAACATGTTAATTTCGTCCCCCGTTTCGGAGGCTGTTTTTCAACGGATGTTCTTGAAAATTGGTATCAATGTAGTTGAATAGTTATATTAGAGCTCTTATACCTCAAAAGGTTGAAAATGAAAAAAATAATTAGTTTTATAAGTGTTTAAAAGTGACTCAATTTACGTTACTTTAAGATTTTTCTGTACTTATACTATTGATTTTCTTGGATATATCATGTATGAGGGCCCTAGAACCAACATTAATCTGTAAGGGGAAAAAGTTTTTACATTATCCTTCACACATTCCATTCGGAGCGAGGGACGTCCAAGGCATGTTTTTAGTGTTTTTGCAGGGGCGAAGAAGACTCTTAAAAAATATAACTATAATTTTTTCACCTTGAAAAGTTTAGATCATATTGTTCTTACTTTTTAAACAAAGAACTAATGTAGTGCATCTCAGCTATTGTCACATTTATAGGTAGTGTTTAGTTTAGACCAACCCAATAAAAGTCCCTGCATTGAAAATGGCAGAATTCCAATTCACTGGAAGAAACTCTTAAACTAGACATTCATCACACGTGTGTTTGGCTTTTTAAAATATACTACAATCACAATAATGAGACAAACACAAACTAAATTAATTATAATAATTGATCAAATCTATTGTATTTATGAAGATTACTCAATAGAAAACTGTAATATTGGTGATCTTTTAAGTTTGTTTTTATACTGTAAATTGTTATTACTCTGTTAAGATTAACAGTTAACATGTCGTCTACCAGCCGTCCCACTCCTCTGTTAACATGTTGTCTACCAGCCGTCCCACTCCTCTGTTAACATGTTGTCTACCAAACGTCCCACTCCTCTGTGTGAAGAGCCTTGTGAGACCTGGTAGTGAATGTGTTAATATCGGAATAATGGTCAAATTTTATTGGGGGGGTTTGTTTTAATTATTTAAAGGCCGTGAAGGCTTGAGCGCGCTCGACATCAATGTCCAACATGTCCAATGCAAGTCAAGTCGCCTAGTTCGTGACTTCGCCGCCGCGACCTCCGGGCGCTGACGTAGACGTGGTGGGGAGAAGCCGAGACGAGTGCACCGGAGACAATTCTTGAGGCAGTCGATGGCGAGCGCTTGTTCGCCGAACACCCTCCCAAGATCGTACAGCGGACCTGAGACCATACATAGGTTGTGGATTCGACTCGCAACGTGTGAGACAAAATAGATAAAAGCGACAATAATATAAGTAGAGACAAACGTAAGTACTGCATGATACCATTACATTATTCGTCTTATTTTCCCGTTCACTTTGGCGAGTAAAAGTTAATATTATTTACGATCATCTTAGTTGTAAGAGATTAGCGTATTGTATTTCTCAGGCCGGCACTGCGAGTGCGGTGCCGCAGTAGCCTACACTTTTTAGTTTATTTATCGAAAGTGGTTTTATTTTATTTTATCTAAAAGTATTTTATTTAGTTATATTTCAAAGCCAAGAAGTTCATTGGCATATTAGCGCTGACGCATTTCATTTCGTTATTTTATTATTGCGTGTGACGACATTTTATTTCTCTACGAGAGTTTTATTTTTAGTTTTTATTCGAGAAGCGATACCTTTTGTTAGACCTAGAAGCTGGTCACGTATTTTAGTTCTCATAGAAGCATCGTATTTAGTGCCGATATATTCCTGGTCAGTGCGTCGTTGTGCTGACATACAACCATAGTATCGTGTGCGTGTTAGGACGACGAAGAAAACGTCTACGAAGATCGAGAAGCGGTTAGCAAGCGACGGAGACTCAGCTAGAACCCTGGACTACTCCTGAGCTGCCCGAGCAAATCGGAGGTAAGTTTAGGATAGGTGCCTTACCCGAAATAAACACCTCACATAGACACTAATCGTATTTCTTACCAATTTGTTCGAAGCGATTCTTGTCAAGTAAGTGAGTGATGAGCAGTTTCCAGTTGTGACGGTCGTAATTTACTCTGTAGAAACCTGCAAATGATAACCCTTTTATGACCAATTTTACAAACCATAAGTTTGTTAAACACTAGTTTCAATAATTGATTTCATTTTATGTACACTAGATGAAACTCATAAGCTTCTCCATGAATTAGGTAGATTTGTTTATTTCTAAGTTGTTCTAATTGGTCCACCATATTGTGGTGTAAACAACTAAGAATCCGGGAGGGCATCTAAGGAAAGGAAAGTTTGAAAGGATTTTCCTTTGCGTTTTGGTAGAAAACTCTGATTACTAATCCAAAATTTAGTAGAGGATCCACCAAATGATCGTTAAGTTCATTCATGGTTTTAACAAGGAAGGTAACTGATTGTTGTCCTAAGTTGTCCTTGCTTATAATTTATGTGACCCAATTTTATGACACTGTTTTATGACAGCTCATTGTTGATTAATAAGTCAAAAAGAGTGTAAAAAGTGTGCAATTAGTTTTAATGGCTTCTGGTGCATTGCAAACATTTTTTTTCACTGCATATTGTTTTACCATTATTAGATCAAGCCTTTTTGTAGCTTGTGTTGTTTCGTGATGTTTAAGTCCAGGCACTGAGGCTGTTCTAGGACTATGTCCTCTTCATTCCCCAACCAGGGCACAAGGAGGGATCTTGGGAGGAGGGCTTGAAAATTTGTTTGGATATTAAAAATATTGGTGTGCACAGTTAACTTAATCAAAGTTATAAACTACGTTACCTAAATATGCACAGTAATAATAAATGTTGATATTTATGCTGGGCTAGGCCCCCTCCCAAAAATCCCAAAGCAGTCTAAGACTGCTTATGAGCATCATTCAGATTCATTTCCTCCCCAGACCACTCATAAGGGCAAACTACACGTTATAGCCTTCAAACCTCTTTAATATTATCAACTAACAACTAAAATCCCTGATATCATAAATATAATTTAGGACAATACTCTTGTACTGACCTGTGCGTTGGATATTAAACACCATCCAGTTGTGGGTGTCGGCCTCCGTGTTTATTTCAATGCTCTGTTCGGCCTTTAGCCAGTGAGAAGGTCGAGTGTTCACGAAATCAGGCTGAGGCATGTGTGTGTAAGTTAGAGGGACCCACCAAAGGCTTCCATCATCGCTATTGTTGCCGAGCATGAATCTTCTCTGCAACATCAGAAGATTGGTCAAATTCTACATTGCGGAACTTTGGGCTACAAAAGAATATTCATCGACCACCAAAATAATCAAACCAAAATGGTTACAAAAGTCGATAAATAATTTGTTGTTGTTGTAATTGATATGTTAAATTTGTTATAATGACTACTAGACCAGACCACTTAGACTAGGTTACAGAAACTCTACATTTTAAGACCTGATTAAATTTTGTGTAGTATTTTAGACCACTTAGACCACTTAGACCAGGTTACAGAAACTCTACATTTTAAGACCTGATTTAATTTTGTGTAGTATTTTATTAATATTTTTAATCAATTACTGAAAGATATTAAAAACTTATTAATATCAACCAAAGTCAGCTAACACACTCCTTGCACTATTGACTTACTATTCTCATTACATTGTCCTGGCCACAGTTTTTCAATAGCTGGTTCAGATATAGTAAAAGGGGAGCTACCGTTGGAGCCAAGCAAATTAGCTAAAATCTGAGATCAACATCATGTTTCTTACTTCATTTACTACTATTCTAGTCACTCCCCACCTTTGTGGAACGATTAATCTCGTCTAAGTATTCTAAAACTCTGTGAAAGAATATGATGCTCCCCCCATGTCGTGGTCTGTGATTAGATTTCTGTAGTCTCATTCGTAAACCAATACTAAATCCTTTGCCAGTTGACGGACACGAATGGAGTAAAGTGTTTGGACGTAGGGCATGTAGGCAAGGGGTGGAGGAAGTTAGGAGTGGAAGTGAATTTTGCATGCAGATCGTGGTGTGACTGAACGAGAGGGATTGTTATGGGACATCTTTACAAGACTATCAAGGACTATCTTTAGCCCTGGAAGTCTGAAACACAGCGATCAGCAAGCCACGTTTCCTTCAATTCAACTATTGTCTTGATGAAACTGATGAACACCCGCTTCTGGCCCCCTTGTACAAACATGTTCACTATTCAGTCTTTTGGAAACTCCCTAACGGTACGTCCAGAGTGCACACCGATTCAGATTCAGAAACAGATTCAGATTTTCGGCGCATGGTTAATCTGAGTCAGATATTTTGTGGATGGCCATGGTGGAAGCAGGAAATACGCCGCCCGTACTACTCGGTTAGCAAAGAAGCAAGTCAGTCGTAGCTATGGAATTGTCAGATGAGGAATTAACGTGAAAAATCATAGCGTCTGAAACTGTTGTGAAGTTACAACCAGTGAAAAATCGTGTTCATGATATTATATATCTCTTTTCCTATAGCTAGAAATGATAGAGCACGGATCTTTCTATATTGTTGAATGGAGCCCAAAAACTCATTATGAAAATTGAACATCATATATAGTAAGAAACTAGTGTAACCTACATAAACAAAGAATCATTCCTGAAGAGCGTTTAATCGTAAACCTAAAAGTAAACATGAAAAATTTAATAGTCTACTATAAAAACAAAATTTATTTACTTAAATAGTATGCATATGAGCAGTATCTGAATCGGAATCTTAAACCATTCAATTAATTCATTCCGGTAAGCTGGTACCTGCATGTGGGCTCGGCAACCGGCAGCCACAATGGCCACTTCCATTTGAATGCAAGTGCCATTCCTGCGGCCGAAAATGGGAATCGGAATCAGGATCTGAATCAGCGTGCACTCTGGACGTACTGTAAGTCACTTAAGCAGATTCTATACATCAAAACACTTTAATGTGTACACATCTGTCAACTGGGTGGAGTTATGAACTGAGATTGACCCCCTAACTAGAGAAACCTGATGCGTGCGCCAATTTTCTTTCTCAACATTTTTGAAAACAGTGACTATACCAATCACCCCACAGAGGTAGTGATCAGATAGAATAGTAGTGGAAGAAGTATGGACCAGACATAATTTAACTTGCCCTTTAACTTTTAACTTTTAAGAAACCTAAATCTACAGACGGCCCTCTTATTTGCCGAGGGTAAGGGTTTGTCTACTTTTTAGTTCCAAGGAGAGCCAAAATGAATATCTTTCCAAACACTCAATCTCAAAAACAATATACCATCCTTCTTCATACCTATAGGTGGAGAAGGTTCAAATGTGTATATGTTACCACAGTAATAAGATTCGCTATTGAGTTAAATAACAGATATTTTGGAGTTCTACCTGGGAAATGTGAACTTTCTTCTTGTCATAGTCCCTGGTGACTGTGACTAGAGGGAAGCCCGTCTGCAGAGTCCAAGTGTCCATGATAGTCTTGACCGACATGTCCGAGTGCCACAGGGAGTCTATCTGAGCCTGTTCAGTGAGAGCACCCCAAAGGTCCTCTCTAGTAGCACTCTGATACATCCTGTGACAACATGAGCAACTCCCATAAACGTAATGCTTTTCTTTTACCACATTGGTTAAAATATTTGCAGTAAAAACATACATATATAGTTGTAATTGGGAAGTTCTCCACCAATATCCATGGTTGATTTTCAAAATCTTGTTGATCCGCATTATATATTTTGGCACAGTTATACATAAACAACATTAATTAATATTTTTATTATTTATACTATTCAAGTGTGTAAGATTTTTAAGTTTTTACAGAAAGTAAATAATAATACATTTAATAACAGTCTGAAAACTTTTTGCCTGGAGAAGTCATGGTCCTAAAGCAGCCCCAGTGGAATTTCACGATCACATCACGTAAAAACATATATTGACACTTAGAGTGTTAACTCAAAAGACGGTAAATAAATATCTATGTAAGATGGTAAGTGGTGATTGATTTTGATTTGAGTATCAAGTAATCAAGTACTGGTCACTAAACAATCATAAATTACAATAGACCTCTTCAAATAAAAACATTTACAAATGATATAATAGCAATATTACAGTCACATTTCAATAGACATCTCAATTTAAAGCATAAATGTAAAATAGCTTCCTGAACTTTGTATAGCCTAGGGAAAATTCCTCGGAAAAAAGATTCAATAAAATATCCTTATATGCAACAATGAACGGACAATTGAGATTTTGTGAGTGGCTAGAAACAATGTATCCCTGGATTGAGCTAAACTAACTTACCTCCTTTGCAAGTATCTAGTTAGACCTCGACGAAACACTGGAGTAGTCAAAAAGTGGTCCATCATTCTAATTATTGATGCTCCTGTAAAGAATATAAAGTCAAATCAATTAATTCTTTTATAACACAAAAGAAAAGCTAACATAATTATAACTAAATTAATTGTCCAGATATAAATTAAATCGACCATGAAAACTTGGTCTAGAGAATTACATGGGATATCCTGAAATCTACACTCTTGCCCACCCTAAATTTGTGTGTATCAATAGACCTGATATTTTAATTTTGAAAATATTTTACAAAGATAATTTCATTCCATATATAAGTGCATTATACTTTGTGGAGGTTTCAAACCTAATGTAACTCGATGTCATTTATTATTATTGCAGGCTCATGACAACAATATCCACTCGACAGTCAGCTGATCTCATAGTGTCAGTGATGTAATGTTCCATTCACCTTGTCTATCCCAATGATTCTGTTCATATTGTGAGATTTTTTAACCACCTTGTTCTAATCCAACTCAATTACATTCATTAACATGGTATTAAAAGAGGATTTAATTGACAACTGTTAATCAGTTGATCCAAAAGTATTTTATTCTCAGTGAAAGCCTTATTAAATAAAAAGTATTCTAATGATTAAAAATAAATGAAGATAAATAATGAATATATCTAATTTACCTTTCCCATAGGAGATGCTATCAAATATCTCATCAATTTCGTTCGGATGATTGACCTGGACGGAGATCGGATGTGAAGAACGGTAAACATCCAACAGAAACACATTCTGTAGCTCATGAACTACAAACTGTTCTGGTATACGCCAACTAGGCTCAACCTAGGGGAAAACAATTAAGTAATGTTGCTAAAACAGGGAAAAAATATGATATATTTGAGGAGTATTTAAGTAAAAATCCAATTAGAAAAATGAAAATTTGCTTAGTCTGCAGGTTTGCTGCGGAGGAGGGTTTATTGGAAATTTAAGCTATAAACAAAACTATACAGTGTGGCCGAAAAGTCCCTTTACACAATTTGTTATTACGTTTTACACTGTTATAAACGGAACGACGGCCAATACTGACACGTGTGGGGTAAGGGCGCAGTGGTGGGGGAAAGTGAAACCCCTCCCCTTCCTCCGCCCGCCACGCGGGCTCAGCCCAAGGTCGCCAACGCCCCCTCAGTCTCAGTCCAAATCTGAGTCAGACAACATGGCGGACACCAGTGTGTTTAGTGTCGAGGAGCGTTTGGTTGCTTCTGTGTGGGTGCATGAGCGTCCTCACAACAGAAAAACAATGGAGGAAATCATGAATGACTTTGCGGTGCGGTTTGGGAAACCTTCACCGTCCCGGCAAACATTAATAGCCTGGGAACAGAAGGGGCCGAAAGCACTTCATATCCAAATCCTTTCGCATGTGGTCTTGCATTGTTGTTCGTGTAATTCCCAGCACTGAAGACCGTTTTCTGGTGGATTTCATTGGCGAACGTGCAACGGAAGCTTCCACAGCAGCGCAGGTTTCGACTCGAGTAATCGGTCGTCCACTTCTTGGCGCGTCGAGAACGGATCCCGTTGCAAACACCTCCATTTCCCACGCTATTAATGTTTGCCGGGACGGTGAAGGTTTCCCAAACCGCACTGCAAAGTCATTCATGATTTCCTCCATTGTTTTTCTGTTGTGAGGACGCTCATGCACCCACACAGAAGCAACCAAACGCTCCTCGACACTAAACACACTGGTGACCGCCATGTTGTCTGACTCAGATTTGGACTGAGACTGAGGGGGCGTTGGCGACCTCGGGCTGAGCCCGCGTAGCGGGCGGAGACAGGGGAGGGGTTTCACTTTCTCCCACCACTGCGCCCTTACCCCACACGTGTCAGTATTGGCCGTCGTTCCGTTTATAACAGTGTAAAACATAATAACAAATTGTGTAAAGGGAATTTTCGGCCAAACTGTAGGCTAAGCAAATAAATTTACATTTTGAATCACTGTTAAATTTGTTTTAGAATACAACATGTTGTAAGTAATAATTAATTCTTTTAGTAGTTCTGGTTTGAAGAATCAGAAAGCAAAATACATTCTTGATTCTGATTAACAAATTTAATTGAGATTATCCGAATCAGTATTCAACGTAGTCCTTTCAACAGTACACACACATGAATATCAACTCTAAAATAAAACCATAAGAAGAAAACATCAAATCGGGTACATAAGAATAGTTCCTTCTGACTACTAATCAACTAGAGCCACATTGTAACTCAAAGGAAACATGCATACATTCTTATATTGTGCAGTGTCGATGTGCAACAAGTCATCAACGATGTTTAAATGGAACTGATCTTTTGGCTTGGCTTGGTTTTCACTTAGTTTGAATGAAGTTAATAAAAAAATATGATTTTCACAATCGTTTACGTTAAACAGATATAGTTTTGAGTTCTATGCTACAATACCCTTAGATGACTCATAGACCCAATTTTGAACAGATGAGAGAGTGGTACATTAAAAGTAAAACAGATGATGGAAAAGCTCGATTGAGCAATCTCACCGCATGGACTCCGAGACATTCTACGTAGGATGCAAAGCCCTCGTTGAGCCACAAGTCCTCCCACCATGTCGGTGTGACGAGGTTGCCGAACCACTGATGAGCCAGCTCATGACTAACTACGGTGGCAATACGTTGCTTGTCCCATCTTGTTGACACCACCTCATCAAACAGCATCGCCGTCTCTCTGTAACAGCGGTAGTACAATCTCTATGTAAAAGAACTTAAAACTAAAAAAACTAGCAAATACCATACCTCAACAAAAGCTAATGATGTTATTTTAAATAACAGAAAACCAGGCAAAAATAATGTGACGATAACTTTTACCGAGTCAGTGGTTCAATGGGTAGTATAATAGATGTACAGGAACCATGACAGTGATGTTGTAGTTTTGCACACCAATGTCGCTAGTAACATTATCACTACTGTACAATCTCCTGCTGTTCTGATCTCCCTGTGCTTAATTTAAAACTTTCCAAGTATAGACCAGATTTTAAATGGACGAGCCAATGCAAGATATAAAGCGAGACTACCGCACACTTATTTAAAATGGTTATATTTAAATCAATGTCCACATTGATGCCGTTCTTCACATCACTTGAAATATCAAATAGTTTTAAGAAATCAACCATTTTAAATGTAGAATTAGTGTTAGTTAGGTGTTTAGTTCACACACCTATATAAACATAACATTAACATTTTAATTTACATTTCCCTACTAAATGCTTTCTTACAAAATATCACTATACATATGATTGTTCATTAGTTACAGAAATGTAATCACCTGTATGTAATCAGTCCCCAATTCTCCATTGCCCCAGCAGAGAAATCAGGCAGGGCAACCATGTCAATTTTCGGCAATGGAAATTTAATGGAAAAGAAATCCTCAAAGTGTCGGAGAATCCTAGGTCCAACCTCCAAAGCGTAGCGTGCTTGACCGAGAGCTTGGTCTCGAGCCCATACTGCGAATGTGCCATCCGACAAGTGCTGGAAGTCCGAGACCACAAAGGCAACCAAATATGTAGACATTGGCACTGATTCTTCAAAATGGTCCCACTCATAATCACTGATGCCATCTCTAAAAACAAATCACCGAATCATTATATTGGCTATATCGTTTTAAGATTATATTGTTAGTAAAGATGCAATCTAGACATAAACAAATTATGACATGACTAATATGATTATAATTTTTTATATTTAATATTTATTTAGAAAAACTTTACATTTTTGTTTAGAACACAAACTTGTAGGCACTGAAAACATTTCAATGAATTGAAAACTTCTTTGTGATGTGTGTTGATATAAATATAAAATTCAATTACGGAATCAAGTGAATTTAAAGGCCCCATTGTGCAATGAATGTTTCAAGTTATTGTTGAATTTTTACTTCAAATGAAAAATCTTATTTCAATACACTTTGTAATGTCATTGAAAATTTATTTTTGGAAACAATCTTACACAGGCTGGGATACAACTTTCTTCCGTGGCATGTTTGAGATTGCAAGCATGTTTGATGGCCTTCCGATGCTGATAGTGAATCTCGCTTTTAGAGCCGGTTCATCGAAACAAGGGAATGCTCGACGAGCATCTGTCGACTGGAATTGTGATGCTGCAAGCCATCTAAAACAGGAAAACTTATAAGAAGAAATGAGTATTGTCAATGGCTTTACTTATGAAACTTAACGTATGCCTACTTAGCTCAATATTCTAAACAGGCTTTACAATATATTCATTACTATAGTATGAGTAATTGAAAATTAGATACATTGCAGTACCTGTTGTGTTTATGGTTTACATACAGTACAACTTTATCGGACTCGGTTGGACCGAATAACGACATAGTCTATATTTCTATGACACGGCCACACAAAAGTTGTTTGAGTTGGTCTTCTGGAGGTTGACTGTGGGTAAGAGACGGAGGGAAATGGATAGTTTTATGATGTAGGTGGAGAAGGGATCAGGTGTTGTTTTGTAGCCAATGCTGTTAATTGAAAAACATACAATATTGTACCATTGGTTGCGTGATGTACATGGCAGCTAGATAAAAAATTTATATAATATTTATATTTGTATATTACAGTATCCACTTTTGCTACCCTGGTGTCCCCGATCTCTTTACCCATATTTTAAGGTATGATTCATGGACCAAAGAAAAACAAAAATATCATGTTAACATTTTCCAAAACATAATTGTTGACGTTACCCAAATGGCAGCCTTAAGTTTTTTTTAGAAAACTATTTTTTATTTGATAACGACTCTTTGTAGTGAAATTAAGTTTGGTAGATTAATTAGACAAAGATATATTTTGAGAAAAAAATATAATGTAGACTACCTAACAGTGATGAACATATAGAGATGTGATATTTAAATGTGGGTATAATTAATACAATAATTGACAATACCGAATACCTCACAATATATTAACCATACACCTCAAGAAATGGTCTTATGGGTCAAATAAAGAAGAAGAATATTTGCCAAAAACACTTTGTTTGCCATATATTTGCTGTTTGAATTTTTTTACAAAAAACAAATACCTTTGATTTTTTTCAATTGATCTTTATGCAATTTAGCATGTATGTTAAGGTAAAAGAGACCTATCATAGAAACAGAATTCAACTCAGACTTAGTCCAATTAAATTATAAAAGGCGGCATTTTTTTTAAATTTTTTTAGTTTTCAAAGTAAAATTCCATGAACACGAGTGATTCAATCAACATTTTACAAGACATCACATTTAAAGCACTTTAAAATCCAAAACCAAAGGGTGTTATAAATGAGTGTTTAGTGACTAAAAGTATTAATCATAACATCATCATTCATCACCATTCATCATCATCGATCATCATTTCATGTTCATAAAATAAAATCTTAAAATAGTCTCCTGCTGTTACATTTTAACAGTTAAATGTAAATGTTAAGTGTTAAATAACAGTTAAGTGTAAATGTTTAAGTTTCAGAAAAAAATAGTATAACACTAAACATAGTATATGGCTTCAACAGTAAATGGTTGAAGTTGAAATTCGTGAAATAGTAAAAAAGTAAAAGAGTGAAAAATATAAACAAAAAGAGGTGCTTACAATAGAATAGAATTGCAACCAACCAGAGGATTTGACCAGATGACTGTGACTTGTAGGTTTTGTTGTCATTAGGGTGAAAAAAATAACAAGCGGAACAAAAGCAAAACAAAGCCAAGATTCTACTTTCATGGTCTGGTGACAATTAACTAATCCGTTGAACCAAAACATCCTGGGCACTGACTCTACACCAGGATCCATGGTCATAGAGTGAGATTTTACAGAGTAAAATGTGTTGTATGGTTATAGGATTATTTCTGATTTATTATCAAGTTTTTGATAAACCGAACAGAGAACTTTAAATGAGCTTTTTACTGATACTGCACATCTTACTACATATTTCTCTTTCTAATCATAAAAACCCCCAATAGAGTTTTTTTTTCCTAGGACGCTAGGCCCGAGCCCGGAATCGTTTTTCACATTACTTCAGACTAGACCTAGGGGTTGCGGCATTATCAATTAGATAAAATTCATTGGTGATTTGGCGGGATTTGAACCCGGGACCCCAGGAACTGGAGTCCCGCGCTCTAACCACTAGACCAGCTGGCTCCCCACCCCCAATAGATTAAACAGTAATAAAATATTACAATCTAAAGCTAAGACATTAGTTTTGAGGTATACTAAGGGTAATAGAACCGCACAACAAAGATGATTTCTAATTTGTTCAAGAGGTGCATAGTTAAAATTACATAAGATTCCAAGTTTTTTAGTGACTTAAAGTACCAGTAGTGTTTTCAAAATTTTATTACCTAGTGTTTATATTTTTAACAAATTATCCATATCTGAATTTGGTTAAATAAATAGTAGGATGTGATCAGTCTAAACCATTCTTTTCTGTACCGGTAGTCAGATCTTCATTTTAGCACAAACTACCCACACCTCAAGGGCACCAGGTTATTATAACGTAACAACAAGTGACATACCCACCTTGTGACATTGTTTACTTTGTAAGAACTACGGTAGAAGCCTTGCAATACATTGTTCAGGTTTCCTATGTAGGTAATGTATATCTTGTATGGCCCTTGAACCAGCGTTTCTGAAGGGTAAAGTATCAAGAACTGCCTCTCTATGTCTACACTGTGGTTTACTATAGGTATCTCCTCTTCTCTATCGTCAGCGACAGTCTCTCCTCCCGCCAGTCGCATCACTCTCCGAGACAGCACCTGACACAAAACACAGATCATAACATTTGAGTTACATTTTTTGTTCAAGGAGTTGGTGGCCTCAACCTCAATTTTGTCTACATGGGCCTCAAGTCTGTACGTGGAAAGTATTAAGCAAAACTAGTGTCCCTGTTGCTCGAATTCGAGCAATTGCTAAGTATTACAGGCGTTATTTTAAAACGAATTTCAACCAAGTCAGCAAGTTTGTAGCAAACTGTTAATTTAGTAAACTTATTGACTGTTTACACATAACATATGCTCTTCTTCTTACTTGTGATTTGTGACAACAGCTGGAGTTTCATAACAATTTTTGTTTCCAATGTTAATCTTATGGAGAAATACAAAACTTTAAAGGACTCCAGGGCCTCACTCTCTCATTATTTCCCTAAAAAGAAAGTTTCCTGCACAACTTCACGTTACACTCTTTCCAATGACACCAAAAACATGACAATCGGTTCAGTAGTTTCGGAGGAGTAATTGTCACAAAAAATCTGCTTGCGTATTAAATAAGTATAGATAAGAGGTAGATAATGTACAAGAATGAGCTGTACTGATAAATTGTAACTGGTAGCGCCAGAACCTATACCCAAGACATTCATTGTTTTGTTTATAATTCCATGAACTACCTACTGATCCACTGACTCACCAATAACAGGCAATGAAATTAGTAAGATTCTCGAATAATAAAATCAGCGGGACTTCATCCCTTCATCCCTGCCCTTCACCCCAATCATGTTTTATTGGCTACCTAACTCTTTTTCCATAGTTTATTTTTTTCCTAATTAACAAATTATGTTTAGAGAGAGAGGTCATAAAAGAATTCTGTTGCCTTGCACCTTAAATTGACCATTGGTATTAGGATTACCCAGTGCTTGATTTGCGGCGGAACGGCGTTCCTGTGAGTACCTCTCTTTCGGAAGGAAAAAAAATATTAGCATAAATAGGTTCTAATCACATTAAATAGGTAACATTTCCAGCACTACAAATCAAGCACTGGGACTACCTTTATGTGTGTAAAAAGAGACTTTTTGGTATATACAGGGGGGGTATAAGGGTTTATACAGGAGGGGGTATATAAGGGTATATATACAGGGGGTGTGTAAGGGTTTATACAGGGGGGTGTATAAGGATACATACAGGGGAGTGTATAAGAGTATATACCCTGTATTAAGCATTAAAGGGAAGATATCACTGAGTTGTCCTTTTTGAACAGAAACATTCAGTCAAAGAAGAAGGAAACTAATATTTGTATCTGCTTCTAGATATTGTCATATTTTTATGTACATATCAGTCAGCCTTACCTTTATATCATTCATATGCAAGGTAATGTTGTCTGTAGGTTGGGTGATATTAATTAGGATTTCAACAAATCCATTGAATGTGAAGTTCTTCTCCCAGATGAAAGGGATCAACTGCACCTAAAAATACAATATAAATTTAGGGGGTTTCTAATCCCTGGTTACTTTAATATATATTGAACAGTTCATCTATCATCATAAAAAAAGGTCCAACAGCTTTAATGATGAAAATATTTTAATTCATCTTTCCTATGCCATGTGTTTCCAACAATAAAATGTGATACTTTAAAGTTATTAATAATCTTAAACAACCCTTGATTTTTTTTTTATATTGGAAATTGTAATTGCGAATTATTGGGAAATAAACATAACAACTTTTATTTATATAGAGTTTTTAATAAAAAAAGTGATCATAATTCTATCCTGACTGGATATAAAAGGCAGGGTATTTATGTGATTATAATAACATAACAATATTATTCTTTAAATTTATTTAGTTATTTTAATTCTATACTAAGTAAATGTGATAAAGATTTCTAATCAAAATACAGTTGAAAACAGAAGAAAAGCCAAAGTGAAAAGGCGTATTACATAATCTAAGTGTAACTTAACACTAGACTATTTTGTAAATTACAATATTTTTACTGCATTTTTAATTTCACAAATTTATCTTGGAGCCCACACAAAAGTTTTAACTGTAGGGTTTCAAATCAAAAACCTATCAAAATTCTTGCCTGACTGTAATGCAAAGCAGGGTTCTTTTGTCATCAATACAATTTAAATTTTTATTAATTTTTATCTAAAAAAACTTATTAATAAGACAGGATGTTTTGGAAGGAAAATCTATAATTAACTAATATTGTAGTAATTAATACTATGTTTAAGTTATTATTGATTTGACACAACAATATAATTTGATTAACGAATAATTGTTATAGAAGCTAGTAATGAAAATGTAGTTTAAAACAGTAGAACAACTAAAGATAAATTGTTTATGTTACGGTAAAATGCACGTTCAATTTATAGTAAAGTTCTTCTTGTGAATGAAACAAGGATGAGTTAATGAGAAATATGCAAACAATTTTAATTAACTAAAATGTTGTCAGGGAAAGGGGCTTTTCCCACACAGCCCCAGATGATGTCCCGTGACTGACTCCTTTCAAGAACTTCCCTTAAGAGAAGTCGTAGGTTGCTGTGGCTGTTGTTCCTTTGTTGGAGCAGCAACTACAACCGAGAAGGACTTGGGCGCAGCGGAGGAAAAGTCTGTCTGGGTCGCCTTAGTCTTAAATTAACGCTTTGATTTCTAGACGATCTCTTCTATTTTTGGATGGCTTTCTAATGTGGGAGGCCTCCTATGTTTCTTGGAAGGTAGCCCCTGTCATCGGGCAGGGACACCGTATACTTTTCATTTACTCCCTGGCTGCCTTGCTCACCACCCGGTAGAAGATAAAACCAAGGTCACCCTCAGTTTGGCCATGCAGTTTTTGACCACTTGGTTAACTCCTTTTTGCCTTTTGACTGAGTTCAGCATGGATTTTATTGTCTCCTCCATGTTTAGAAGCGGGGTTTCAATGCTTCTCTCTGTGTCAAGATATTCTTGACACAAAAGCATCATCTCCAATCTCTTTATCCACAATGTTGGTATGAGGGATTCCTCCGCCATCCCTTCAATAGACTTGAAAGCTGGTACCGGTGGTAGGAGACTGTCACCCCCATTCCCCAGTTGAGGCACCAACGGGTTTTTTTGCATTTCGGAAGTGGTGACCGAGTACAAACGTGGTCCCCTCTCAAAAGCCGCCACTTCTGATCACTTCTTCACTGACCACTTCATATCAATTTGAGCCAGCGCATCGTGTGTCAAGGGCTAGTTTGGAATTAGCGGTCGGTAACTCCTATACCTTCAGAGACAAAACCCACACCCCAGTTCCCTGGGGTCTGGCCTCCGTTTGTCCAGTACCGGAAATCCTGACTACTTTAGTTGCCGTGGCAGTGCAGAGCCCGAGCTCTGCAGCCATGCCACATTCCATATTAGGGCCTGAAGGGGCTTATTCCTGATATCACACCAAAGAGTCCCATTAACAGTCTAAGGCACAAATTAGCCCCTCTGCACAGGAGGTCACTCTCAGGGCCTAATAGTATGGACAGGTTGACAAAGAAAGAATACAAATTTCTGAAACGGCGTTGAAAAACTTAGAATCAAAGGAAAGACAACGGATTTTGAGTACCCAGCTAAAGATAAGAAGAAAAAGGGCCTCAGAGAAAGTTTGGAGCATGAAGAAAATGATCTCCCAAACCCTGTTAGTCACCTCTTATGACAAACCAGGGAAGTATGCTATCCCATTGTAACCTAGGACACTGCACGGGGAACTGGGTATACATAGGATGTATGATTTACCTTATACAATAAATGTAACACACCTGCCACTGAGTGACATTGGAAGTTACCTTATATGACTCCGGCACCACTGATGTAGGCAGCCTCACGTAGAGCTTGGAATATGTCGGAGAGGTATCCAGCGACAGCTGTTCAGAAGCAGGGTTCCGATCATGGCAAGGTGCAAAAGAGTACGCGACCAGCGCGACGGCGACCAGAGATACTACAGCTACAGAGAAGAGCAATATCGCCGACAGTCGAGACACCACGAAGCCACGAGGGCTGATAGTTGTGGCTTCCATGACCGCCAGGACCTCTGGTGTCTTGGTCATCCGCAGTCACCCAGCTGCCGAGCTCTCGAGCATCTGCAACAAGAATCAAGAATAATTTATTGCAAATTGCAACAAACTACAAAAAGTACATTTTGTAAGTTGACGACAACACATGAATAGGATTAACAGGTTTAATGCTCCACAAGAGGAAAGTGTCCTGTGGGTAGCATATTAATTAGGGTCTTCAGGATATAATACAGTCATAATACAAAACATGGGCATCCAGTCAGAACACTAAATACAAGTAGGCCTACTATAGTACTGTAGAATCAAAATATTGTTTGTAGAGGTATGCGAGCCTAAAGCTCGCGAGATCGAGAAAATTCATCAAGTCAGAAAATTATTCCCAGTCAAGCTTTTATCATCAAGATATTATCGTGATCGCAGAACGCTTCTGTGATAATTGCGCGATCAAACATGCATTAATAAGTCTTGATTACGTGAGATTATCACGATAACGCAGTAACTGATCGTGATGACACTACGCGTTTGCTAGATGATTACGCCAATAGCACCCCAATATAGAGAGTAAAGAGTATAATATGCAATTATACTCAAATAATATGCAATTTTTTTCATCTTTAATTTCACTGTGCAAACGTTTAATTCACGTATAACTGAAGGTTTTATTTTTTTAAATACCTGATAACAATCATTGTCAAAATTACCTTTTTTGGATGTTTTGGTGGCAATTTGATTTTAAGCAAATTGCAAAATCATGTTTGGCAACTGTCTCAATAACATACAAGCCGAGCTAACATAAATAGTGAGAATAAAAGAGTTTGAACAAATATTTAACTGAATCTGATTCTACACTTACCAAACGTGTCATATTGAATAGTAGATTTTCAATTTTTTTTTACAATAATTGTAGCATTTCCTCTGTGGCATAAAAAAGTGTTAAAAAGTCAAAATGCACTCATTAACATTGCCTTGCAGTTAAAACATTCATTTGGGTGCAATTAAAAAAGTCAGCATTTTCGTTCTTAGGAATGTTGGAACAATTATTTTTAGTAAGGGGAATCAAACATATTTTGATTGATTCTTGATTTCAATTCAAGAATTAATAAGTACAGGCTTCTTTTATAAAGTGAATAAACTTGCATACTTACAGACGTAGATATGTTTCGAATTTACAGTATTATATTAAGCCACAAGTGAAAACTGTACTTGTTTTAGTTGTTACGCAGTTAGATATCAAAACTAAAAGCTCGCAGTTATTCATGTATAGATAACTCATGTGAAAGACAAAAAACTTTGGGAATTACAACTGTCACCACTCAGGTGTGTGTTATGCACAGAAATAGTGACATAATGTGGTTAATATTCAAAATTCGGACCACAGGTTTTGACATGAATAATTAATCAACTTTAGATTTTTTTAATATCACAAAGGAACTTAATAACATTTTGTTTACTATTTTCTGAATAAAAAACTCACGTTCTGTTAACATAGTCTCACTCCAGATTTGCAACGTGAAGGCACGAAAGGGGCCAATTCGCTCATCAGTGAGCCAATGTTAACATTGTCTCACTCTAATTACTTTGTCTCACTCCAGATTTGCAACGTGAAGGCACGTTTTTTACCAATTTATTTGTTTTATGGTAACTGTAGGAAAAATATAATGTGCAACTCGAGTGCAAAGTGCAATCGCCTCACTCGAGAAACCATTCTTTATGAGTAAGGATTTCTCTCGAGTGAGGCAATTGCTCACTTTGCTCACTATTTGCACAAATAACTATTCTACTTTGACATGCTTGGATAAAGATATGTTGTACAAGGCAATTATCATACAAGGGGTACGTGATTATGACTCCCTTCTCACGACATTATCATCACAGAACGCAGTTGATTATGTCATGGATAAGCGTGGCACAGAGTTAGGAACTGGATAGAGTACATATTGTTTAAGGAAGTAGGTGCTGGGGTCAGATTTGAAAAAAACTGTTTTCGTCTTAATGAGTTCTTGCATCTTACTACTAGTTACTTGAAACAAAAGTAGTTTTATTGAGATATGAATAGAAAAAAATTGTCCTAAACCACATAATATTTTGCGGGATTTATGGATATTTTGTTTACAGCCTTGGATTCCATAAATAAAAATCGGATCTGTAAGAACTGGAAACGTTTACTTACTATCAAACACTTAAAAATAAGTAACAAGATAAGTTAGAGTAATATTACTAGTTCTTAATAACGCTTTATTAACAAAAGAAAATGTCAAGCAAGAAGAAAATTTTGTTTTTACGATATTCCAGACAAAAAGGATGTGCATGGGGCAGGAAGAAGGGAATTATTAATGTTAACAGATGAGCAGAGAGCCTTGTTATCACAGCCAGGCTTGTTACTTGTTACTACATTCCGTTACAAGACAAGTTACAAACTTTACTTGCCAACTCACGCTTGTACACCATTGTTTTACAACTTATACAACAGAATATACTCATTCTAGGAAATAATACCATTCGAGTTTAAGAGTGGATTTATTTAAATAGCAGAGTTTGGTTTGTTTATTGGATTGTTTTTCCACATTATATTTATAATATAACAATATTATAAATATTTTAAATTTAGAAATTATTGAATATTCGATACATTTTAATATCAAAAGCAAGTATTTTCAAATTATTTAATTGAATAAGACTGTAACTCATTTATTTGTTCATGTTGTTTTATTTTGACGATTAACTAGCTTATAAAAATTATCCTCGCCAAAACTAAAAAAAAAACCGACAGTAAATCGAGCTTTCATAAGTTTATCAACACTTTCAAGAGGATTTATTAAATGGCTGAAACAGAAAATTGTTTAGCTATTAATGCTATTTATTGTCACGAGTTAAATCAGTACGGATATCGAACCCAAACCCAAACTGTGTTCTAACAAAATCCATCAAAACTAGTTCGTTTGTAGCCGCGTTTCAAGCATGTCATCACACATAATCTGTTGTTGAAACTTTCACAGATTTACTCGATACAGCAGTCAATTATCTGGTCTTCGGTGGTTGGTTTAGTGGAGGGAACGTCAGGGGTTGCGATTGCGAGGGAAGCCCGAGTTGGAGGAAGGCCGTACGACGCGTGTTGGGGTCAAACTGACACTCGTTCCGGTGTCATGTGTTGTGTTTCCTGTGTGACCACACGTCACTTCAACCGGTGGAAACCTAAAATCTCTTACACCAAAAATATAAAATTCGCTTTTACCGTAGTACTCATGGTAAGACCTTGACCCAGGACCGATTTACGTTTTCGTTTTGAGGTCCCTAGAGGTCAAAAACACCACTCGTTAAAATTCACACATATATATAAATATATATATATATATACAGGGTGTCCCGGAACTCTCTACCAATATTTTAGGCCATTGATCCTGGGTAAGAATCATACCTAAATACCATATTTAAATTGTCCGGATGTCCTTAGTTACTCACACAGCCGCCATTTTGTTTTTTCAGTTATTAATTTTTTTCTAAAGAATGGTTAAACATACGAAATGAAAAATTTGCACAAACATTTATGACAACTAGACAAAGCTACCAAAGAATTATGACAATTTTTCAAATTCATAAAACAAAATGGCGGCCATTTAAAATTTTCTTTCTTAAATAACTCAAAAACCATTGATTTTACAACAATTTTAAATGGCCGCCGTTTTGTTTTATGAAATTGAAAAATCGTGATAATTTTTTGGTTGCTTTGTCTAGTTGTCATAAATGTTTGTGCAAAGTTTCCATTTCGTATGTTTAACCATTCTTTAGAAAAAAATTAATAACAGAAAAAACAAAATGGGGGTGTGGGAGTAACTAAGGACTTCCGGACAGTTTAAATATGATATTTAGTTATGTTTCTTACCCAGCAGCAATGCCCTAAAATATTGGTAGAGAGTTCCGGGACACCCTGTATATATACAGTGTGTAAATTAAGTATTGAAACAAATTTGTATTTTTTAAACCGAAATATATGGCAATATTGTGTTTGTGGCATTGATTTTTAACAACGGTTCCGCAATTTTTTACACCAAAAAACGTTTTTCACCCCTTTAACAGGGTAGGGGGTGACTTATTTTTTCAAATAGCAACCCCTATTGAGCGATCCCTCATTTTGAAGGGCTTGTCAAAAAAAACACAATGACGCAAACCCGAGGAAATGGCAGGTATTCCAAAGTTTTATATACTGTATGTGAAAAAGCACCAATTTCACAAATATGGAAACAAATCTGTATTTTTAAAACCGAAATAGATAGAAACATTCTGTTTGTGGAATTGATTGTTAACATAGGTTTCGCAATTTTTTACATCAACAATATTTTTAAACCCCTTTAACAGGGAAGGGGGAGGGGGTGATTTATTTTGTTTAATAACAACCCCTATTGAGTGACCCCTCATTTTGAAGGGTTTGTCAAAAAAAAATACAATGACGCAAACCCAAGGGAGATATTTTATCCCTAGCCTAAATGGCGGGTGTTCCAAAATTTGATTTATGTGAAAAAGCACCCATTTTGGAATACTTGCCATTTTGGCTAGGGGTTATACAGGGTGGAACGAAGTTAGTGTTAAACAATTTTATGTGTTAAACTACTAAGTATTGGTGACAAAATGGCACCAATTTAAGTTTCCATACCCTCACAGGTAGCGAATAACAGACAATTTAAGATTTTTTCAAAATATTTGTACTTACTTACATAAAATGGCCATAAGTGCATTAAACATTGTTTTTATTCCAAAATCATTATCATTCAAGTTGTGTATTTTGCTTTAAGTCAATCTCGCACATCGGTTGAATGTGCCATAGAACACCGTAAACGATATTTAATTTATTCCAATAAATAAGAAGAAAACCCCCTAAATGAAAATTCACACAAAACATAGGTTCATTAAGTGTTAATCCTAACAATTCCTCAATATTCTTATTAGGAATTTTACAGGGATTCTGAAAATTGCAATAATACCCATTTAAACATGATTTTTAAAGCAGCTGCTGCCATATCATTAAAGCCAATACATGTTTTTTTAAGGAAATTAAACATTAGCCGTTCCGT